AGGAAGAAAAAATCAGCAAAGTCAAAGTTAAATTATGAATAAGAAATAAGGATAAATTTGTTTTAAAAAAGAAAAAAAAATTTCCCTAACTCAAGGTTTAATGAAATAAGTCCTGTTTGAGTTGTTAACTTTATATAGAACGTCAATAGTTGAACTTATTATGGACTTATTTTTGAGAAAAAAAAGAATCCATGAATTTTCAGCCATAAAGAGAGGGTCAAAGCTTATATGTGCTTAAAACGACTTCTTCCATTTTTTTTTCTTCTCTTCTCTTCTTTTATTTTTTTTTTGTTTTTTTTTTTAATTTTGCAGAAACTGGTAATGAGCCGTAGAAGTTGGACAATCTCCAATTTGGAATGACTCCAACGTTATTTGACATCGCTTCACGCTTGGGTGACCCAATGCGATTTCGATTTCAAATCGCTAAAGTAATCCCACTGAATTTTAAAGGGTCTTGCAGATTGTCTTTCCTGTAACTACTAATACCTATTTTTTTCCGCTCTTTAATCTCTCCATTCACCCTTTTTTTTTCTTCTCTTTATATTTTTTCTTTTCTCATAGGAAAAAGTTCATAAATTTTGAAAAAAAGAAAATGATGAAAAAAAGGACATACCAAACGAAAAATAATTTTATTATACAGACAAAAAATTATTTTTTTTCCATGGTAGAAAAAAAGTAAGACGGAATAAAATTTTCTCTGACTACTGATGTAATGAAATTTTCAAAATTTTTTGGAAAAAAAAATTGTCTGACTAAAACTGATTTTTACTACTGATACTGATTATACAATTGGAAAAAAATTGGCTGACTAGAACTTATTTTTACTACTGATTTGAAAAATTGGGGAAAAAATTGTCTGACTAAAACTTTTTTTGACTACTGATAATGATTTTACAAAAATTTAAAAAGTCTGACCTGACTTATATACTACTTAGATCTCAATTTATTATCGTTTAGTCTGACTGAAAGTGAATGTTACTACTGATAAAAAAATTATAAATTTAGAAGCTGTATGTCTGCCTGAAACTGCCTTCGACTACTAATTATAAAGTTACAAGAATTTCCACATATTCTGTCTATGACTGAAATTGACTTAAACTACTGGTAATAAAAATCGAAAAGTTCTGAAACTGTCTGACTATTTCTGTCTTTTACTACTGATAACTAAATTTTCAAGATTTAGCAACAAATTGTCTGATATAACTTTTTTATCTACACGGAAAAAGTCTTAATCTGAAACAGGGATATATTTTTTTAGAATAGCGAAAACTTTCGCTGTTTTAATTAAACATATCGCTGTTCGAGTGAAACTTATCGCTGTTTCAGGTAAATATTTTTTTCCATGTACTAATATGAATTTTACAAAAATTTGAAAAACTACTTGTCTGACTAAAATTGCCTATGACTACTTATAATAAATTTATAAAATTGTCTGACATAAACTGACTTTTACTACTACAAAAATTACAACACCTTTACGTTTGAATGAAATTGACCTTGTATTATTTTTAATTTATTAACTCCGTCTGACTAGAACCGTCTTTTTCTACTGAATTTACAAACAAAAGTAAACAGTAAAAAAGAAAAATCTGAAAAAAAGTGGAGAGAACAATAAAAATAACTGTTTAAACATTTTCTCAACAAATTTTATTTTTATATATCGGCTAATTTTTTTTTTTTGATTTCAGTTAACAAACATGGGTATATATTTACAGATATATATATAATATATATATAGCATGAGTCAGTTGACCTCTGACAATTGTATTTGACGCGACCCTTTTGTCCCACCAGCATAATCCCACTTACTCCCAGGCTGCATAAGCGAAGGATTTAAAAGTCACTCGTCAAAGAACATAACTTCTTTATCGTACAATAATAATATAAGTATTATCCGAGGGTATATATATATCGAGATCTTATTTTTATATAACTTCATTTTGAAAAAATTCATTGGAAAAAATGAGTTTTATTTGAAATTGAAACATTAGCCTTCAAATCGATTCGAAATGAATTTCTTGTAAATTACATTTTTTTTTCACCGCCAACAAATCAATATAAATAAAATTAGTGAGAAATTTAAAAAATAATTCATTTATCTCTGGAATGTACTTGAAAATTTTGTTTATTTTCATGTGTAAAATTTTAACAATTTTTTTTTTTTACTTTTTATTGACTATTATTTATTACTATATAGATATCAATAGTATGGGGTATTTTTTGAAATTAGTATAATTAAAAAAAAATACAATACCAACTGTATTATTAACATCAATAAAAAATAATTAAATTTTTTTTTGTTAATCTTTTTATATTTCAAAAATAAAAACTTTTTTTACCCTTAACTTTGATTGCCATTAAAAAAACTTGAAATATAAAAAGTAAAATAGAAATAGATTTTTTTTTTATCATTCATTTTTAAAATCGTTATCCTTTTTTTATTAGTATTTACGCCTCTGCAAAGAAATCTTGTTAGTTGAAGAAATGACTTTACGTCCACTGGGTGGCTCAAAGTTGACTGCCTTTTCTCTCTGTGTGTTAATTGTATTACTTTAACACAATAACGCCTTAACGAATTCGAAACAACTTTTTCTTTTTTTTTTTTTTTAATTTTAATTTCCACTTATCCGCATTGAAAATTCATGGCTTCAAAATATATTTTATCAATAAGTCGTTGAACAAAAAAATTACCAAATTTAATTCACAAATTCTTAACTATTAATTTTGATTTATTTTTCAAATTTGACAAATCTTATTAACATTGTCATTTTACAGTAATTTAAGCAAAATGGACATTCAACAAAATATTAATTGGTGGCATTTTCTTTTCATTAAACTTTTAATTAGCTAAACTTTTATTTAGCCTAACTTTTATTGAACCTAATTATTATTTAGCATAATTTTTGTTTAGACTAAATTTTATTTAACCTACTTTTTTTAGTCTAATTTTTATTAAGCCTAATTTTTGTTGAGCTTAACTTTTATTTAGCCTACTTTTTATTCAGCCTAATTAGTCTTATCCTAATTTCTGTTTAGCCTAACTTTTATTTAGCCTACTTGCTATTTAGTCTAATGTTTATTAAGTCTAATTTTTATCTAGCCTAAATTTTATTGCTCCTCATTTTTATTTATCCTAATTTTTATTGATCCTAGTTTTTATTTATCCTAATTTTTATTGGTTCTAATTTTTATTGATCCTAATTTATATTTAGCCCAATTTTTATTGGTCCTAATTTATATTTAGCCTAATTTTTATTGAGCCCAATTTTTATTTAGCCTAATTTTTTATTGGTCCTAATTTATATTTAGCCTAATTTTTATTGGTCCTAATTTTTATTGAGCCCAATTTTTATTTGTCCTAATTTATATTTAGCCGAATTTTTATTGAGCCCAATTTTTATTTAGCCTAATTTTTATTGGTCCTAATTTATATTTAGCCTAATTTTTTGTTGATGCTTATTTATATTTAGCCCAATTTTTATGTAGCCTAATTTTTATTGATCCTAGTTTTTATTTAGCCTAATTTTTTTTTGGTTCTAATTGTTATTGATCCTAATTTATATTTAGCCTAATTTTTATTGGTCCTAATTTTTATTGAGCCCAATTTTTATTGAGCCCAATTTTTATTGGTCCTAATTTATATTTAGACTAATTTTTATTGAGCCCAATTTTTATTTAGTCTAATTTTTATTGGTCCTAATTTATATTTAGCCTAGTTTTTATTGGTCCTAATTTTTATTGAGCCCTATTTTTATTGGTCTTAATTTATATTTAGCCTAATTTTTATTGAGCCCAATTTTTATTTAGCCTAATTTTTATTGGTTCTAATTGTTATTGATCCTAATTTATATTTAGCCTAATTTTTATTGGTCCTAATTTTTATTGAGCCCAATTTTTATTGGTCTTAATTTATATTTAGCCTAATTTTTATTGAGCCCAATTTTTATTTAGCCTAATTTTTTATTAGTCCTAATTTATATTTAGCCTAATTTTTATTGGTCCTAATTTTTATTGAGCCCAATTTTTATTTAGCCTAATTTTTATTGGTCCTAATTTATATTTAGCCTAATTTTTATTGGTCATAATTTTTATTGATCCCTATTTTTATTGGTCCTAATTTTTATTTAGCCTAATTTTTATTGAGTCCAATTTTTATGTAGCCTAATTCTTATTGGTCCTAATTTTTATTGAGCGCAATTTTTTTTAGCCTAATTTTTATTGGTCCTAATTTATATTTCGCCTAATTTTTTGTTGATGCTTATTTATTTTTAGCCCAATTTTTATGTAGCCTAATTTTTATTTAGCCTAATTTTAATTCAGCACACTTTTTATTTAGCCTAATTTTTATTGATTTTATTTTTTATTTAGCCTGAATTTTATTGAGCCTAATTTTTAGGTAGCCTAATTTTTTTTTTAACACAATTTTTATTAAGCTTAATTTTCATTGATCCTGATTTTTATCAAGCCAACATTTTATTGATCCTCATTTTTATTTAGCTTAAATTTTATTTAATAGAATTATCATTTAGTAGAATTATCATTTAGAAAAATTTTTATTAAACTCAATTTTTATTTATTAGAATTATTATTATTTGGGCAAAATTCTCATTTAATAGGAAAAAGAAAAATGTATTTTAAAATAAATTTGGCTTTCGTTGAAATTTAAAAAAAATCACAACTCTCAAAATTTTTATCAAACAGAAAAATAAAAAAATATGTATTTTTTTATTTTTCATAAAGCTTTGTAAAAAAAAATTGTTCCATTAAAAAATAAAAGTAAAATATGAATGAAAATCTCACGTGAAATTTTGCAATTAATAGAAAAATAGATAGATTTGTATTCTTGGGCAAAAATCCACTTCAGTGTGATTGAATTTATAGACACCCCTTGTAAGTTTGCAATGAACGCATACGCAGACGCAACAAAGCCAATACAATAACCGTGTAAATGTTACTCTCACGAAGGAAAAAAAAAAATATATAGGGCTTAATCAGTTAGTCGATAGTCAAATTGGCTTAGAGACACCGACCGAGGATGGTCTGTAGAAAAGTGAACTCCGCGTTGTTCGGTCGCTCAATTCCAAGTGTCATTTAAAATATATTTTTTATTTTCAATAAAATTATTATTTAAATAGTGTGTGGAAAAAAAGAGAGAGAAGTGATTTAATTAGGGGGAGAGAGAGAGAGAAATTTTTTTTTTTTTTTTTTATATAGTGTAGAAAAAAAAACATCGTGGGGGGTGAAGGGGTGACGTCAAACTGGCGCCAACGTCAGATTTGAACGCCGGATGGTCGGAGGATTCGGAGCAAGGAACGTGGACTAAAGAAATTCCTCAGGATGGTCAGATGAAAGTAATTCAACTTTTTTTTCTTTTTTTTTTTTGTAGACCCCTTTTTGGGAAATTTTTCTCATGAAAAATATTTTTTTTTTTTCTGTCACTGTCACTTCTTGTATATATCTCTTCATCAAGTTTCTATTACATTTAATTCGATTTGATTTTAACTTAATTCTATTTTATTTTATATATCGCTCTATTTTATTGATAATTGAATTATTTGTAATCGCTATATCTATATATTGAGAAACGATTGACGCTACACAATTTTTTTTCAACTTTTTTAAATTTTATTTTATTTTACAATATAAATGGAATTAATTTTATAATTAAAGGGGTTATAAATTTTGTTTATTGAATTTATTTAGATTTATAATAATATTTTTTTTTTTGGAAAAATTATTTTCTTCTTTTTTGAATATATATACACAGTGTCGTCATATTGGTGAACGATCCAGTCGTTCCCTCATCTCGATAACAAATTTTTTTCATCCGGGGCAAAAAAACTTGTTCAGGGAATTCGATTGAAGAAGACAAATCTGTTATCAAGAAAAGAAGGGGGAAGAAGATCTTTGCAATAGAATGTGCAGCTGATCGGTATAAAAATAATTTTTATATTAATTGATTAATTTTTTTAATTTATATAAATAAATAAATTTTTTTAATTAATAATTAATTTGGTACATTAATTATTGTTTACGTTAGTTTTATTTTTATTTATTTATTTTTAGTACCATTTTTTAAATATTTATTTTATTTTAATATTTTTATTTTTATTTATATAAATGTAGAGTAATGTAAATAAAAAAAGAAAGTATTTTTTTTTTTATAAAAAATTTCCTTCTTTCTAGAAAGGAAATAAGTTTTTCTCAATTCAATTTAATAACAATTGTTTCGAAATTGTCAATTCTGCATTTATATAAAGTTGAGAGGAAATTCTTGTTTGACAGTATAAGACATATTCATTTTATAGGTATGAGGAAACACTCTCTGATTATCCTATGCTGTTATCTGTACACCCTGTTTGACATGGCTGCCTTGCACTTTCCGTAAGTACACAAAGTTAGATAAACGAACCTCAAGGGCTGTTAGACGGCATACAAGTTTCTACTTCATTTTCCACTAAATTTTCATTAAACTTCATTTCAACAATATGACAAATTTACCTCTGATTCTTATTTCAAATATTTTTCGTTTATTCAAATAAATAATTTTAATTTTTTAAAATAATTCAAAATTATTTAAATTATTTTTAATTTTTTAATTTATTTTTTTATTTATTTAATCCAAATAAATTTTCGTTCTTTCATTTCCATTAGAATAATTTCTTTTTCTTTATATAAATATATATATATATATATAAATATCGAAAGAATACACGAGACGTTAGTATTTTTTTCTATTATTTTTTGAAAAAAAAAAAAAAAAAAAAAATTAGTCAATATTTTGTTCGCGTTTCAGTGAGAAAGTTTGTGAGGCTGTCCTTTCCACAGAGGTAGAAGATTGGCAAGTTAAAGTCGATAGTCTGTCGTCTCGTACAATTCGACTTTCGGCGAGAAAACGCGGGTACCGGTTTTTTCCGAAGATAGAAAGGTAAAACTTTAATTCTGGCATGCATGATTCTCGTATTCACGTTTTTTTTTTTGTCTTTTCTCATTGCATTTTCACGCTCAATATTTTCAAAAATTTTCAAATATTTTGTTTTTTTAAATATTTTTTTCCATTAATTTATTATGTTAACAAAAAATTTGATTTGTTTTTTTTTAAAGAAAAAAAATTTGCATTAATTTTCAAATTATTATTAATAATAATTTTCAAACAAAAAAAATTCATGTAACTTTTTTTTTACAATGTTGCATGAAAATTTTTGCACTAATGTTCGATAGAAAAACAATTTTTTTTTACATTTTTTCTTATATAATAATTGTAAATTCAGACTTTCGTATTGTATTTTTTCCCAAAATTTTCAGTAAAAAAATTTTTCTTTTTTTTTCATTTATTGAAATTTAATTATTCATGCCAGAACTGTTTTTGCTAATGCACGCTTTTAAAAAATGTCTACACAAAAAAAGCTTTACACGCCAAAAAAAATTTTCTGCCAAAGAAGTACGCGTACCGGTTTTTTTTCACGAAGGTCGAATTTAATAATATCAAGAAGTACGCGTACGTTTTATTTTTATATTAATTAAAATATAAATATTATATTACAATTATGTTGTAATTATATTAAATATTAGAATAATTAATAAATTAGAAATAAATTAGAAATAAATATAAAAATTTAATTAAATTTTAAAAATTTTCTAAAATATATGGAAAAAAATAAATTTTCAAATACGCGTACTTCTTTCTAATGTGCCAATAATTAATGAAATTTTAATTGAAAATTCATGTCAAATTAATATCACCTGATAATTTATAGAAAGCACAATTATTTTTTTTTTTATATATTACACCATAATTATTGATGGAAAAAGGTGGAATATGAAAATAGGTAAAGAAAGACGTTGTTAGGTGAACTTAAGGGTATGCTGAGCACGAAGACCTATTATGGCTTCTCTGTTATTGCTGCTTCATCGGAATCGAGAATATTTGAAACTGGTATAAAATACATTTAATCTGAGTAATTCGGAATAAAATTCACTTTTTTCACACTTTTGCAAAAAAGTAAGGCCATTTTGTATAAATAAATTAAACATTTTTTTTTTAATCTTTTTTCACAGTAATAATTTTTTTCAAATTTTAATTTTGAAAAAAAAAGAAAATTGGGTCGAAATATTCAATGTTGTGTAAAATTCGTCTATGACAAAGTGTCATCAACAGATATATCAAAGAACATAAAGGCAAATGACCTTTCTCGTTTATATCGTTTGCAGAGAGATGGAGGTTGAAGAGTACGGACGAAAGGAAGTGTCCCTGTCGTTGCGAGATATTCTGCCCTTAAATCCGAAGAATTATGACAAACACAGGGCTCCAAAGTTCTTGGGACAACCAACCATGGTTTATTTTCACGTCACTGTCCTCAGCATTGATTCAATTAACGAGGAGTCCATGGTAATTTTCTTTTTATTTAATTAATTAATTACCCCCCAAAAAAAGTACAATAAATAATAATTTTAATTAATTACTAAAAAATAGAATCAAAAATTAATTACAATAAATAATGATTTATTTTTTGATAATTGTAATTTTAATTAATTACTAAAGAAAATAAAATAAATTAATAATTTTTTTTTGATAATTGTAATTTTTTTTACAGACGTATGTAGCGGACATTTTTTTGGCCCAAAGTTGGCGCGACTCTAGATTAAGGTTACCGGAGAATATGTCAGAGGAATATAGAATATTGGATGTGGATTGGTTGCACAATATTTGGAGGCCCGATTGCTTCTTTAAGAATGCAAAAAAGGTCACCTTCCACGAAATGTCGATACCGAACCACTATCTGTGGCTCTATCACGATAAGACTTTACTTTACATGTCCAAGTGAGTTTTTAAAAAATAATTTCAAATTTTTCAAAATAATGATAAATTGAAAAAAAAATTGAATTAAATTTTTATAAAAATTAAATTCCTTTTAATAATTTAATATTTTTTTCAGATTAACTCTAGTCCTCTCGTGCGCAATGAAATTTGAATCTTATCCTCATGACACTCAGATTTGCTCAATGATGATAGAAAGTCGTATGTATATTTTATTTTTCTATATTTTTATTAAATATTTGATGTTCTTTGAGAAAATAAATTTTTGATTTTTTTTTTAATGAAAATGAAAAAAAAATTTTTTGAACAAATTTCTAATAACGATAAAATAATAATTTTCTTTTTTTTCAGTGTCACACACTACACATGATTTGGTATTCATGTGGAATATGACGGATCCTTTGGTGGTCAATCCGGAAATAGAATTGCCACAGCTTGACATTGCCAACAACTATACAACTGACTGTACGATAGAATATTCCACAGGAAATTTCACTTGCATACAGATCGTCTTCACTCTTCGTCGACGACTCGGATATCATTTATTTCATACTTATATACCCTCAGCACTTATTGTCGTCATGTCCTGGATTGCATTTTGGATTAAACCGGAAGCAATTCCAGCGCGAGTCACTTTAGGAGTCACATCTCTTCTTACCCTTGGTAATTTAATTTTATATTTATTGTAAATATTTAAATATATTCAAAATTTATTCTCTCTATCAATATTAAAAAATTGTAATTTAAAACTTAATTTTTAATTCTCAATTTTAAAAAATTAATTAAATTAAATTAAAAAAATTTATTAAAAATATTATTATTTATTTATAAATTATTATTATTTGAAATAAATAAATTTTAATTCATTTATTATTATTAGTATTACCTACTATTTTTATTTTTATTTCTATATTTATTTCTTTAAATTAGTTATAATGTATTTGTTTGAAATAATTTTATTAATAAAATTTATTAATTTTTTATAATTTTAAAGAATATTTTTATGTTTACATAATTTTTTATCATATTTTTGACAGCGACACAAAATACACAATCACAACAATCACTGCCTCCTGTTTCTTATGTGAAAGCAATAGACATTTGGATGTCGTCCTGCAGCGTTTTTGTCTTCCTCTCACTTATGGAATTTGCTGTTGTGAATAATTACATGGGACCTGTAGCAACAAAAGCAATGAAAGGCTACTCGGATGAAGATTTAAGAGAAGCCATCGACGAATTTAAGGTTATTTTTTTAAAATTATTTTTATCCCAAAAAAAAAATTCATTTCACTGAATATTTGTCATTCTACACTGGAAAAAAAAATTATTTGATTCAAATACCAGTGTATTTGGTTATTATCAAATAAATATTTACTTGAATTAAATATTTCTTATTTGAATCAAATAAATATTTACTTGAATCAAATATTTCTTATTTGAATCAAATAAATGGTATTTGCTTCAAATACTGAAATATTTGATTCAAATAAGAAATATTTGATTCAAGTAAATATTTATTTGATAATAATCAAATACACCGGTATTTGAATAAAATAAATTTTTTTTTCATTGTATTCAAATAATTGACCTCTTTTTTAAAATCAGTTAAAAATATTAAAAAATTAAAAAAAAAATTAATAAGTTAATAAAATATATTGAGAAACGTAAAAATGCACTGAGGACGATTTCTTTATATCGAAAAAAAATTCTGTTATTGATAACTGATTAATTAATATATTTATAAAATATTCATATTAATAAATGTTTGGAAAAAATTTTTTTTCAATAAAAGAAATTTTGTTCCTTTCTAAAATTGATGATATGATTTTTATTAATGTCTAAATTAAATTAAGTCTGACTAAAAAATATTTTGCTACTAACTATGCTGAATATGACTGACATTTTCTGATCATAAAACAATAAAAAAATAATAAAATAAGAAAAATAATAAAAAATGATAAAAAATAACAAAAATCATATTAAAAATTTATATTAAACAAAATAGTAATAAAAATAATAATCTTAAAAATCACAGTCTGACTAAAAATTACTGTGATTACTGAAAAATACAACTATAAGAATTAAATCAATTTTGTCTGACTAAAACTGAACTTTATTACTGATAATAAATTTCAAGAATATTTAAAAGAATTGTTAATGTTATAATGGTATTAAAATCCTTATGTCTGACTAAAAACGTTTTTTACTACTTAAAAAATTCAAAAAATTAAAATCGCTTGTCTGACTTAAATATTTTTCTACTACTGAGAATTTTTTTAAAATAATTTAGCAAGTATAACTAAAACTAACTATTAGTACTAATTTAAAAAATTACAATAAAGTGTTGTCTGACAGTAAATTACTTGTACTATTGATATTTATAATATAAAAACGTTTTGTCTGACTGTAACTAATTTTTACTATTGTCATTGAAATTTAAAAAATCATCTGTTTGATTGTAACTGATTTTTACTACTGATAACTTTATTTCAATCATTTAAATAATTTGTCTGACTAAAAAAGACTTTTACTACTGACACGTTTAATTATTAAATTAATTTAATAACTGACTGAAACTAACAATAACTATTTAAAAAAATATATAAAGAAATAATATCCGGCTCACTTAAAATTCCTTTTACTACTGATTTGTCTGACGTTTACTAAAATCAATATCAGAATATTAAGAATTTTAAAAGAATTTAAATAATTTAAAAAATTTTTAAAGTCTGACCTTAACGATTTTTTACTACTGAAATCAAATTTATAAAGTCTCAAACTTATTTTTGCCATTGAATTTAAAATTACAAGGAACGATTTGTCTAACTATAACAATCTTTAACTACTGTTATCATAATTGAAAATGTTCTGTCAGACAATAATATTTTTATACATATAAATATACAATAATTTAATTATTAAAATTTAATAATTATAAAAAAATATAATTATATATTATTATAATCATTATAAATATATAATTATAATAAATAAATTTGAATTTAATAAATAAATATTAAATATTAATAAATAAGTAAATAATAAATAAAATAATTGCGAAATAGAAAAATCTATCTACACGGAGAAAAAAGATTTCTTTTATAAAGTAACTTTTACTACTTTCAGAGTAAAACTGGACCAACTCGAAGTTTCTGCGCATCTCTGGCAATTTTTACTCCAAAAATAGTAAAATTTACTCTAGAAATAGTAAAACTTACTACGGAAACAGTAAAATTTACTACAGAAATAATAAATTTTACTATTTTTGGAGTAAAAATTGCCAGAGATGCGCAGAAACTTCGAGTTGGTCCAGTTTTACTCTGAAAGTAGTAAAAATTACTTTTTCTTTTTCTCCGTGTATTTATAAAAAATATTATAAATTATAAATGCAATATTTATTTTTTTTATTTTTGCACATAAAATACAATAAAGTTTGAGAAATGGGAAAAAATAGTTAATGTTCATTTTCACGCTCTTTTAAAATAACAAATCTGCCATGTGTCAGGTAAATTTTCAAATATTTACACACTTGTGAAAAGTGAATTGTCAGTCCTTGGACATAAGTGTGAAATCGGTTAGCCACACACGTGACAAGATGATTATTTACCTTCCGGCAGACATTTCCCGTTTCTCAATAAAATATTTACCGTTACACTATCAAAAAAAAAATTGACGACGGGAAAATGCATGTAATATAAAATATCAAAATATGAAATTTTGAAAAAGTGTAATATAAATACCAAAATTTTATATTTTAATGTAAATATTTTACCTTTTTTATATTTACATTTACATTATTTATTTTCGTATGCAAATTTTCCAAATTTTTAAAAATGAATAACTGTAATGTAAAAAAATATTACATTTAGAAAAAAAATAAATTTTTTTTTACTTTTTTATATTTAAGAATTATGTTATTTATTTTGATTTCGCAAATTTTGCCAAATTCCCGAAAAAAGCAATAACTGTAATAATAAAAAAATATAATTAAAAAAAATATTAGAAAATAAGAAAAATATATATATTACTCTTTTTTTTGAAGATAATTATAAATTAAAATTCGATATTAATGAAATTTTTTGTCCTCTAATTAAATAGACACCAATGAGGCCAGATTCGGAAAGAAGTAGAAGTCCAATTCGACCACCGACTGTTCAATACGACACATGTTGTGAAGGTCGTGCAACAGCAATTTACATTGATAAAGTATCAAGATTCTTCTTTCCATTCTCGTTCTTTATTCTTAATATTCTCTATTGGAGTACTTTTTTGTAATCAAATAAAAATGTATGAAAGATAAATAAGCGATATTTTAATAAACACAACAATAAATAGTAATTAATTATAAAATTATAAATCTATATATATAGTAATTTGCGAGTCATGTGTAACTTTTATCTTAAATTAATAATTTGTAGCCTATATACCATAATATCATATATATGTAATACGACTGTATACTAATTTATTCATACCATTCTTTATTTCTAAATAAACTAATATTTAAATTAATAAATCTATATTTTAATTAAAGAAAAAAAAAGGAGAATTTTGTATAGTAATAATTATTAATGTGAATTTTTGTGTTTTTAAATAATAAATAAATAAAATTATATGAAACAAAAGAAATTTTAATATTTATAAAAAAAAACTTAAATTGATATATTGAATGAGATGAAAAGAATTTTTTTTTGAAAATAGTGCGCAGGAAGCTGGAAAACGAAGATATAGGTTTACTGTTTCTCGTAAAAAGTGAAGGCAAGCCTTGAATGAATATTTCTTTGTGTATTTGAACGATATACACATTGAAATTTTATGAAAACAGCTATCAAGGAAAAACTTTTTTTTTTATAGTCTTCAAGTGCCTTTTATAAAGAATGTAGCTTGCGCTCGTAAAATACAAAAACAGGAACCTCATGTGATCATCAAAGTTTGTAAATCAGAATCTCTTTTACAAAAAAAAAAAAAAACTGTTTAGAATAAATGTTACTCTCTAATACATATAGAATAATTTATGTCTTTCATAGATTTTATATCTATAACAATGAGGAAATGAAATTTTCCTTGAAAAATCGATAAAATAAGTATTCATAAAAAAAACAAGTTGAGTGCATTTTGAAAAAAAAAGAAATTAAATTTTTACTAGCCTATAATAAACTTGGAAAAATATTTTAAATAAAAAATAATTCAAAATCGAAAAAGAAACATTATAAAAAGTTTTATCGAACTAAAAGTGTCCTTTACTGATAATTAGAAAAATTAGAATCATTTTAATAAACTTAAAATTGTTTTTTTACTGTTGATACTAAAGCAAGAGTATTTCAGATCTTACCAAAAAAATTTACTTATACTATTTATACTAATTAAAAATTGTTTTAAACTTTTAAATTAAATTTTTAATTAAAAATTGTTAAAAAATGTTTCCTGATATATAAAAATTTTAAAAATTCGACTAATTACATTTTTTACTACGTATAATTTTACAACAATTTTTGTCTGACTTAAACTGTATTTTTCTACTGATATTATATTATAAAGAATTAAAAAAATTTTTGGTTTCAACTCTCTGAAAACTAAAGTAACAATTATAAAAATATTTCTCTGATTGGAACTTTCTAATATATCAGAAATAAAAGAATTAAAATTTCTGTGTCTGACTAAACATATTTTTCACTACTGAATTGAAGATTAAAAGATTTTGTATGTACAATTTTGTCTATATAAATATATTCTTAACCTATACTAACAGTAAAATTAATAATAATAATAATAATAATAATATACTTTTACTACTGTTTAAAGTAAATTCATAAATTTCTACTTCGTCTGACTAAAACGGATTTTTACTACTGAAATCAGGATTTCAAAATTGAAATCACTTTTTGTCTGACACAAACTGTGTTTCACTACTGATATCAAAATAAAAATTTACAGCGAATTTACTTTTACTACTAAAATTAAAAGTATTTTAATACTTTTGGCTGTTTTGGCTGACTAAAAGTTGACTTTTACTCCTTATTTAAAAATTTGTAAACTCTACGACTGAAATTCACTGCAACTGATTATAAAATTATCAGCAATAAAATAGCAAAATTTAAAAATCAGAAACTTACCTTTCGCTAGAAAAAAAAATTACAATTATATTTTACATAAAAAGGATAAATTATTGAGGAAAGGAGTGAATTAAATAATATATGGAAACATGAATAAAGACAGTACTTTATTTTTAATATATATATATTTTTTTTTCTCGTCGATTTTTTTTTATGTATAATTCATTTGATATACATATTTGATAATAAATATATTTTTTATTATTTTTTGTTTGTTTGTTTATTTTTACATTTCAAATGGTTCCGTTTGCGTGCATTTCTAGCATCCAAGCATTTTTTTTGACAACGATCGATCAACAATCAATTGTCGCTCTAATCGTATTAGAGCATTTTATTCATTGTTTATCCATTTTTTTTTTGTTTTTTTGTTTCTTTTTTTTTTGTTATAACGCACTATCTAATTAAATATTTTCATTATCGAATTTCATCTCTTTTTTCTTCGTGATTTTTGTTTTATTATTATAATCTACTTTCTTTTTTTTTAATACCATTTCGATCTACTATTTTTTTTTTTTTTAATTTCTTTTTTCAACAAGAACTTTTTTTTAAGACATTTAAGTAGTGTCAGTTTGTGTGATGATTGTTTTTTTTATATTTTTCTAAAGCGGGCCAAAATTTTATATAATATTTACAATTCAAGAGCGTCTATATAAATACTTTTTTTTAGAGAGAAATTATTGAAACATAATAATTTTTTTTTTTTGCATTATCGACATATAGGAACTAACTTATCTATAAAGAGTCTAATTATTATATAGTTTCCATATAGATTTTCATAAGTTTTAAATATATTATTTTTTGTAAATTACTTTTTCTATTTTCATTTTTTATACGAAACATGTTTTTTTTTTTTTGGCTGAAAATTATTAAAAAATAATTTTTTTTAATAAATTTTTTTAATAGATTTTTTTTAATAGATTTTGCAATAGATTTTTTAATACATTGCATTTTTAACAATGTTTATTATTGAGCAAAATGAATTAATTAATTAAATTATTCCTTTGTATCACGCACAGTTATTATTTTATGCAACTTGGTTCAAAGGAAAAATGAATAAAATTCTCTTTTATAATAATTACATAATTGAATCAAAGTGAACGAAATATAAGATTCTTTGTACTTGTTTTTTTTTTTTAAATTAAGAATGAAATACTTATAATTGCATTTTAATTAAAAACAGAAATCTTTTATAGATGTCTTTAGGTGAAAAAAAAAATTTGTAAATTAAAAAATTAAAAAAAAAAAATCTAACCCTTATAATTGTTTATCGAAAGAAAAACGGTATTTAAAAAAAAATCTCTTTATTTTGAGTTTAATCAACGAAAGAATCGTGTAAATTTTTTTTTAACTTTGTTGAAATAAATTTAATTGACTTTTTTTTTTAATTCTAATTTCGCATTTCTTGAAAACCGTTAATATATTTTTAAATCACAGGTTTTGAAACAAAAGCCAAATGTATCAAGAAAAATTATGATCTCATTTATTAAATAATCATTTTTTTAAGGACTGAATAATACATCTATAAGAATATTTTTATCAGTGTGTATAATAATAATGCTAATAATAATAATGTAATAATATTATTAATAATCATAATCATAATTATAACCATAATCATAATTGTAATTAAAATCATAATTATAATGAAAATGATAATAATAATCATAATCATAATAATAATCATAATTATATTCATAATTAAAATGTAAAATCACAATTATAATCATAATTATAATTATTATCATAATAAAAATTGTAATTATAAGAATAAAAATAATCATAATTATAAAAATAATAATATTAATAATAAGAATAAAAATAAATTATAATAATATAATAAGAGATATATTTTTTTCGTACAATTTATTCGCGCAGTGAAATTGCTGACGGTCTCCTATGCGACGAGGAAAATTTAAAAATTCAAAACGTCTAAACATAGTGGCAACAAATTTCTGTAATATATATATGTACGTATTTCTACTTCCGGGACGTTTCAATTTTCTTATAGGAATAAATATAATAAATATTTTCGATCAACGTTTTTAAAACAGTGCAACGTTTCAATTGTTATTCGCAAATATTTTTAAGTTTATGGCTTCGCCTATAATATATGTAAAAACGTATTCATGAAAGAAAAAAAAAAATTTCAAAGTAATTTTTAATAATATTTTTAATATATTTATTTTCAGAAAAAAATCTTTCAATTTTTTTTTTTTTTTTACTGAAAAAATTAAGAAATTTCATAAAAATAAATAAAAACTTTAAATAAATAATAAATGTAAATAAATAATTTAAAAAAAGTTAACCCTTTTTTTTGGGAGGAAATAAAATTTTAATTCAGAATACGTCTTTGACAAAATATTGTAATACGTGTATATAGTCTGGCGCAACAACGCGTCTCAGTCTTAGCCAATTTTCTTCGTCATTTATATATGAACCAGTCGTTTATCATTTTTATTAGTTTTCGCGAGGAAAGCAAATGAGAAAAATCTCGAAAAAAAAAAAAATTCGAAACAAAAGACAAAAAATTGTATTAAAAAAAATTCTTTTCTTCGTTCATTTTTTGTATTGTAAATAAAATTTATTTTTCTTTCAAATTAAATTATATGTGTGAATGTAAAAAATATTTTTGAAATATTTCGAGATTAATCGAATTTACATTCCTTGAACTTGTGTAATTCGAGATGAATAAATTATTTTCTATAAGAATTGAAAATTTATGCAGAATATTCCTGAAAGTTTTATTATCTCGAGAATATTGCGAATCTTCTTCTCTCATTCATTCTTCACTCTTTTTTTTTTTTTTGTTAAATGTTACATTTCGTTTACACTCGCGATTATTTTTCATAAATATATTTATATATATAGGCAATATTAACCAATATTATAATCGCATATTAATAATTACAGAAAATTTCAACAATTTTTGAACGCTATTTGATATAAGATTTTTTTTTTTTGGAAAAATAGATTTCCTCGCAAATTCTCAATGTTCTCGGAAACATTCTCGAGAATATTCTCCAAAAATATAAATTCTCGAAGTTCTTTTTTCTGGACATATTTGATTTTAAATATTTTAGCGCATATTAAACGCTATATAGAACATTTTGTATTTTTATTTTCAAATTTGGTTTTTTTTTTTCATTATCTAAGGCGCGCTACGACTTTTAAATATGACTCAGAAAAATCCAAGTGAGATTCAGTCAAAAAAAAAAAATAATTAAATAATTTAAAGATGTAGACGGAAAGATACCATCAAAAAAATTTGAATTCCCCTTGATCGTTCATTATTTACCAAAAACTCGTTGCCTGCCAACTTTAAACAAATTCATTTCATTGTAATAATAATAATAAAAAAATCCTGGAAAAATAAAAATTATGAAATAAAAAAGTAGTTTTTGACATTTTTAGCTTTTTGATTTGAAAATTTTCAATTTTTCACCTTTAAAAAGAAATATAATTTTTAAAATCAGAAAATTATTACAAAATTAATATTTTCAAATAAAAACTACGTCGACAATAAAAATGTAAAATAAACAAAAATAAAGGTAAAAAGATTTTAGAAATTTAAAAATGAAATAAAAACTTGACAATTATTTTTTTCATTAAAAAAAAAAAAAAAAAAAACACAATGAATTCTGTTTGAAGTTGGATTTCGTTAATCATTTTTTTTTTTTACATTATAATAGAAGTTGATTTAAACTATTTTTATTTTGTTTTGAAACTGTCAGCACATCTATTTATTTTTTGCATTTTGCACTGGCAAGATTCGCCTCTATCTAATATGTATAATGTGTGTCTCTTACTTTTTTTTTTTTTTTTTTAAATATGTACGCTTATCTCATAGCTTTACAGGACTATACAAATGTCTGCATTGGTCCGAATATTTTTCATGCTATTTCGTGTTTCTCGTTAGCTGTGTAATTAGGTGTATTTAAATTTACTATTTGGGTGAAAATTCCTGAAGTGGCCCCCTATTTGCCAAAGGTCGAAATTTTTTATCGAAACTTCACAAAAATGTAGTTCCAATATATTTAAAAACATCCCCTAAATTTTTTTGAAAAATATCCATTTGTTTATTTTTTATAAACAATTGAAATTTTATGCATAACATTTTTCAAAATTGCATAACTTTGACAAATATTGACGAAATTTTATTTTTTTTTTTTTAAATTACTGATGAAATTCTAAACTTTTTGAAAATAATTTTTACAATTTTGAAACTTTTCATTTGTTATAAAAAAAAACTTTTTTTTATAAACAAATTAAAAAATAAACGTGTTCTGGATGAGTATTTTCAATTTTATAAACATAGACTTGATAAGAATTTATTGAGGATTTATTTAAAAAAAAAAAAAAACGGTAATGTGGAATAGTTTAATAACAATGAATTTTTTTTTAAAGCGCGCTCGCACCCCGTGCAACGCGCCTGAACACGTTGCACACTGCACTGCCCGCGTATACCGTGACTTTAAGAAGCCGTGGTCTAAAATTAAAGTAATAAATTGAGTATTAGTAAATTATTTATTGTTTGTTACATATTGTTAAATAAAGTAATATAATTTTTTTACACAAACATTAATTTTAGATAATTTTTACAGTAACTGATTCATCATGTTTCCCAAATATTTTACATTTTATCTCGTTCTTTCCAGTGGGCACAAATTGATGAAATTGCCTAGTATTTTTTATTGTTTTTGCAGTTAAGTATCGCTGTTCAAGTTTTTTGGCATGAGTTTTGTGTTCTTCTTTAGAACAATAATCAAATTCAATAGATTTAAAATATGCCTTTGCCCACTTAAATAACGATAATGGTCCCGTAATTTTTTCCTCACTTCGGTTTTGTAAGGTTGAACGATAAGCATTTCTTTTTACAACCCCACCAATGCCGTCACATGCCCCTTTGCCATGTGCTGAAGCAAAAAAATTCCAATCGGCATCAATTTTAAAATCCTTTTTATGATATAAAAGGTTTATAAAATTATATTTATTTTTGTATTGCGAAGCGGCTCCGTCTGAGAAATAATGAATTTTTTTAATATTTCGCTTTCCAAAAGACTTCACCATGAAAAATATTAATTTGGTGTTGAATAAATTTACAGCAGAGCTGTCGTGTTCCAAGTCCTCAGAAATTATTACAAAACTTTTATGTTTTAATTCGCCATTTTTTTTATAATATGTAACGTATGGATGAATAGTTGCTTGCTTTGTACTCCAATATTCAGATTGCACCGAATTTTGAAGACGACAAGCATAATTTTCAGAAAAATCTAAACATACGATATACTCTTTGTCCCCTAAATTATTTTTAGTGTCAGAAAGAAATTGAGCTTGGACTTTTGAAAGAAAATCATGTTTTACGAGAACATGTAAATCGCGCGTCAAGTTTTTAATAAATTCTTCTGATGATTCTTCTTTGGCTTGTAGAGTACATCTGTTAGATAAAAAAATTATAATGAAATAAATATAATTTAATTTTATTTAAATGCGAACAAATATAAAAGCTAAAAATTTCAATTAAAAATATTATTAATAAAAAATTATTGAGCAGAGTTTTTTTTTATGAAATACTAATTTTGTTTACCTGTCAGTACTTTCCCATTGATCAAACCTTATAGACAAAATATTATTCTTCTGAAAAATTAATGTCATATTTTCTGAACTTTTTTTAATTCCAGGACAGTTTGGACATTTTAGTAAATAACAATCGGACTCCGGATTTGAACAAATCATTTTCTTCAAGGAATCATGATAATTTAACTCAATTTCCGTTCCGTTTAATATTTTTTTAATACCCGCAAATTTAAGGCGTACATTTTCGTGAATTTTACACACACACACATTGTGTGTTTCTTTTGGACCCGCAAAGATACACTGCGCTGGTCGAAGTTTTCTGAACTTTGATAAAGATATTTTTAAATTTGGAAATTTTTTTTCATATTCTTCATGCAATGTACGGATATTTCCTGATAATAATCTTTTTTGTTCTTGGTACCGAACTCCGTCTTTTTTGAACGATTTAAAATCTTTGATACCAGGTAGAATACGACTAACTTCGTCCGACAAGTAGAAATTTTGAACTTTTTGTTCAATGGCAGGATCCAAAGAACGACCTTTTTTTTTATTCGGGCGAGATCCAACACCTATTTTTTTTTGTTTTTTAGCATTTCTAGCCATACGTCGAGAAACATTAAAATATTCTCGAATTTTTTTAATACTCCAAGAATCAGGAATTAACGTAAGCACATATATTTTACCTTCACGGTTTGTTTGAATATTAAATAACTTTTTTATCTCTTCAATAAATTCACTGTCGGGGTTACTACTGCACTTTTGAGAATCACATACACTACCTATTGTGTCATTTTTTATTCGATTGAAACTCTCTTCCAGTTTTTTTTTCTCACTATCAGACACATTAGAAGTACGTCGTATTTTCACAGGAGTTTCACCAAATTCTTGAAGTACGCGATTCATGGTATCTATATTCAATGATTTATCAACAGCATCACAGACAAAAGTAGGATCTGATTTAAAATCGTCTTCAGAATCAGAGACAGTTTCTGAATTTTGAAATTCAAAATTTTGAGATATATTGATTTTTATATTATCTTCCATTCGATACAATTCACTTTTACAGGAAACACAAACGTAATCTCCTATAAGTTCCTTAAATCTTTCATTCCAATTTTCAGTAACTTTTATTAAATTTTTATAAATACACTTATGTTTCTTTTTCTGTAAAGGGTTACAACATTTATTTGGATTAGGCATTTTCACTACACTAAAAGACTTTTTCCTTCAAAAATTTATATAATTTGTTTCAAAATAAGGAAAACTCTGTTTTTGTACTATTTAGTCGTATGGACGTACTAGTTTCTGACCAGACAATACTGAAAATTAGTTTGAACAAGAAATAAAATAAATTTTATTAAAACTGTTTATTATCATTTAAAAGTATATTTTTCTAAACTTGACGTTTTAAGAAAAAAGTTCTCAAACGGTAGCTCGCGGGCTCAACGCGTTATCTCTCGAGTTACATTAAGCCTTATAATTATTACATTTAGTACCTTATAAATAAAAAATAATTGTTTTTTTTAAATAATACCATAAAATATCGAATATATAAAACTTAAATTTGTAACGCTTATTAAAAAGCATGGAATTTTTTAAAACAGTGTACTCACAGCAAAGGCGTAACAAAGCTGTGCAACGTGTTCAGACGCGTTGCACGGGGTGCGAGCGCGCTTTAAAAAAAAATTCATTGTTATTAAACTATTCCACATTACCGTTTTTTTTTTTTTTTAAATAAATCCTCAATAAATTCTTATCAAGTCTATGTTTATAAAATTGAAAATACTCATCCAGAACACGTTTATTTTTTAATTTGTTTATAAAAAAAAGTTTTTTTTTATAACAAATGAAAAGTTTCAAAATTGTAAAAATTATTTTCAAAAAGTTTAGAATTTCATCAGTAATTTAAAAAAAAAAAAATAAAATTTCGTCAATATTTGTCAAAGTTATGCAATTTTGAAAAATGTTATGCATAAAATTTCAATTGTTTATAAAAAATAAACAAATGGATATTTTTCAAAAAAATTTAGGGGATGTTTTTAAATATATTGGAACTACATTTTTGTGAAGTTTCGATAAAAAATTTCGACCTTTGGCAAATAGGGGGCCACTTCAGGAATTTTCACCCATTTACAATTTACGTGCTTTTAAAAGTTGTGCACTGAAATGAAGATAAAATGTATTGTCAGTCAAATGTTAATTATTTTACATATATACCCAAAATATAGTTTCAGAAATATTTTAATTAAAAAAAAAAATTTTTTTTCATAAAAATAATTTTACTGTCCCAAATTAATAAGTAAGAAACTAATATTTATTAATTATTAATTAATTTATTATTAATTTTAAAAAAATTTATCATTTTTCTAATTAAATTATTTAATTATATATTATTAATTTTTGTATATTAAGGATATTAAAATTTTTAATAATAAGAATGAAATTAATTGCAATCGACGGAATTTATTTACTTTATGCCAGGGGAATAAAATTAATATAAAATAAATAAATTACAATATTCTAGAATTCTAGAAATATAATAAATGTCAAAATACAATTCGTTCTAATTTGAATTATAATTACAAAACTACGAATAGAACATTTCTGAAATATATAAAAAATTTAATTATTCCTTTCAGTGCACGAAGTTGAAAGGCTCCTATAAGTTTGAATAAAAAAAAAAGGTTTGACTATTTTATCTTTTTTTTTTTTTTACAAACGAATAATAAATTAATTTCAAATTTTATTTATTTTTATTATTTTATTCCTAAAAATTGGATTTGCTGAATTGAAATTTAAAAAAAACTGTTTTTAACTAAATGTCTGATTTGGCAGCCTGATTTTCTTCTATTGAAATAATTTCAATTCCAAAAATGAAATATTCAAAAAAATGTCATTTTTCAATGACAAAAGAAAAAATAGTCGAAACATTTTTTTTTTATTTCGAATGTCAGTACATCGAGTCAGCGTTGCTTCGGAAAACTTGGCAGTACAGTAATAAATTTGAAAGACTTAAAATTCTTCCGCCATAAGTTTCTATTTAATAATCTTCGTCGTCTGTTTTTTCGATAAATCCAAATTTTTTTTTATACACATAAAGATTTATTTTATTTTTCATTTTTTTATTTTTTAGAATCAAGTCTACGAATTACAAACACGTGATCATTGGACTTGAACAATTACAAACAGGTACTTTATAATCCTATTAATGAAATTTTTTTTTAAGATTACAAAGAAATTCCAGATGTAGAAATAGTTTTATTATATATATATTTATAATTGAAAAAGAAACAAAAATTAATTTTAAAGCTATTTACAATATGTGGCTATTTTTTTTACAACTATATTTATTATAATAGTTTTTTTTTTTTTTTTATTTTCAAAGGCTAGCTAAGTCCAACGATCGTTCCCTGAAAGAATAGTCTAAATATATTAATGTATTTTTTTTTAAATTAGAAAATATATGTGTTCATTATTATAATTAGAATTTTTCTTTTCATTTTCGACAAGGACGCACGAATGCAACGCAAATGGCACACATAGTAATTTCTGAACACGATCTATATAATTTTTTTTTTTTTTTTATTTCTGTTTTCCCCTAAAGCATCTTCCCATCATTTGTTTTCAAAAAACATTCTTACACACAACACGATCGATTTGAAATTCGATCACACGTCTATTTACAGTGACACTTAAAATTTATCGAGACTAATTTTTTATTTTTATTATTATTATTATTATATATATGCTGTACAAAAATCGACGGTGGTATTATTTTTTTTAAAACTTATAGTTGTTTTAAAACAGTTACGTTAAAATTATACAACGTTTCTGTGATTTTTTTTTTTTTTTTTGACACCGATAAAACGAGTGGACACTCGCGAGAGACACGCGATTCTCTAAAATTACAATTCGATTGTTAAAAAACAATTTTTTTTTCTTATGAAGTGTGCGCTTTAGGAATGTAAAAGAGAAGCAAATATTGAGATATTTATCTTAAATAGAAGAATTAGAAAAAATGATAAAATTTCATGGCATCACTTCACATTTTTCCTAATATATTATTCACTCGGAAGTTTTTATTGAAAAATAGAGTCCAAACTAGCAAAAAAAAAAAAACTAATAATCATTTTATTAAAATTGTAAATTAAAAATTTTTCTCTTTTTTTGCAATTAAATTTAAAAAAAAGGAGCGAATATTTCAGGAGATCGTAGCTTTTTTTTGAAATTATCGACAATCGAACTTTAAACTTTTTTTTTCGGACATTCAACTGTAAAATATTTTGTAAGCACAAAGAGAGGAAAAGAGACAGAACAAATTTTTATTTATAAAATAATTTTTGAATTTTACGCAATTTTGTATTTTTTAAATTACCAAAAAAAAAAATTAAATTTTTTGTGTAAAAAAAAAATTTGAAAATGTGATATGTTAAGATCGTTGATAAAAATAGAACTTGGAACGTATTCGTTCGAAAAATTTGTTTTTTAAAAAAAAAAGAAATTAAATTAAATTCTTGAAAAAAAGAAAGTTTCACATTCAAATTCTTCTTTCTCTTATTGAATCTATATATATATACATACAAGAAAATAATTAAATGCATTTTTCTTTACTTGCGTGCTTACAAAATGAAACTTTTCTCGCAGACAATATCAATTTATTTTTTATTATTCTTTTTTTTTTCATTTACTTTTATACCTAATTCCTAAATCCATTTTCATTATAATCTGCTAATTAAATACACTTTCTTTAACGCTCGGACTCAATTTACAGTCTATCTGCAAACGTTGAGAAAAAAAAGTTTCATTTAAAGTCTCGAAAATTGTTTTTTTTTTTTTTTAAGTTTATTTATCAATAATTTCTATTTATTACTATGTACACATAACTATTATTAACTATAATTTGTTTTTATACAGTCAATATTCGTAAATCATAACGTTAATAAATTCTATCAATATTTAAATTTTTAAATTAAAAACAAAAAATTTATTCTAAAATTCAAAATATCGCAATATTAATATTAAACAATATTATTATTATATTAATATAAAATATTGTTAATAATATTATTAATGTAAAATAATTATTAATATAAAATATATTGTTCTACATTTAGATGAAAATTTGAATTTTATTATAAATTTTTTTTTTTATATTGATAATATATTGTTAACGTTGATATTTTTTTTTTTGTGGATAAATTTTTATTTTTCTCTTTCACTTTATTTTTATAAGTAAACTTCATATTGTACATTAAATAGATTTTAAAATTTATTTACTCTTCAACAAATCAAGTTTCGTTGACTTTAAATGAAACACTTTCCAACTAAATTTGCAATTTTCAAAACTAACAAACAACGATTTTCACAAATTTTTTCGCAAATCTTTTAAACTAGAGAAACTTTCTCTTAAATCTCTCGCTGTCTACATTCGAAACAGTTTAGAATAAATTTCTTTGTTTTTTAGGATTAAATTGCACGAACATGTCTGGTTGATTCTATGTATATATTAAAATAAAACGCAATTTATTTAAAAATATGTAAATTAAAAAAATAAATAAAAATTTATTAAATTATCAATTTTTTTTAAAGTTAAATAGTACAACAAAAATTAAAATTTGTCAATAAACACATTCTAAATGTACAAAAATAAACTATTAAAATTATAATATACATTTTTTTTTTTAAATTATCTCAATTTGATTTTACAATAAATTTTATTGAATATTTATTTTTTAATTATTAAAAAAAAAAGATTTTAACCCAATATCCACGTGAATTTATTATTAAAAATATGTAAAATAATAAATTTTTATTAGTTATTTGGTTTTGCAATTTATTTTAACAAGAATATTTTAATTTATTTGAAATTTTTTTAAAAATTTTTGAGATAAATTTTCTTTCTTTCGCTAATTAGAAACATTAATTATAATTTTACTTCGATGATTAATATTATTAAATGACATTTAATTGTTAATACAGTCTAAGTGAAATTTTATGTCGAGTTTATTTCAATTTAAAAAAAAAAAATAGTGAATACCGACGAATATGTATGTTAATTAAAAAAAAAAATTTACCAAAGGTATTTAATAATAAAATACATTGGTAATTATTAGAATTCATGAAATATTTCACTTTTTTAATTGAAGATAAATTGAGAGATGTTATTGTTCGTGAATATTGGGGAAAAAAAAAATGGAAATTATTTTCTTCGAATTTATTATTGATAATAATTGAGCAAAAATTGTTTATTATTGAGATAATAAAAATCATAAAAAAAATAATCTTTTATCTTTTTGGTTTTCATCTATACTTTGGAAAAAAAAAGGAAATTAATTTATAAATAATAAAAAAAAACAAAAATATTAATAGAAAATAAAAATAATTTACTTAATAAAATATTTAAAAATAATAATAGAAAACAAATTAAAAATAAAATAATAATAATATTAATAATAAAATAATATCCAATAAATTGTATAATTTACAAAATTTTGCTCAATTATAAGTATATTTACAGTGAGTGAAGATTTCGCGAATAAATTATAATTATACATAATTATTATTGAGATAACAACTGAATTTTGCCGTTGGGCTCATTTATTGCGAGCCTGGCTTGACACGCATTTATAGTTTTTTTTTTTTTTTTTTTTTTTAGTGTAACTTCGAAAACGAGGCTTTAAGACTCGAGCGAAGTTTTCTTGAAAGAACGAGGGCATATATCTTACTTAAATTCAAAAGGTACTTTGGGCGCCTTTTTTTTTTAAATCCGAGCATATTAAATACAATAGAAGGTAATCCGTTGCGCGGAAGGCCCCTTTAGAAAAAGACGAATCGAGTCCGTTTATTTCGTCTCTAAAAGACGAGTCAATAAAATATTTTTTTTTTTTTTTTTATTTTTATTATAATTAGTCTAATGGAAAGTGAACTATACACTATACAGATTTTTCGCGCGCAGTCGGTTTTTTTTTTCAACAAACGATTGAAGTTACAGAAATCGGAAAAAATTTCGTAAAAAAAAAAAATTAATTTTTTTTTTCTAGTTGATCCGTTTAAAATCGCAGTGTTGCGATGATTCCTTTTCTTTTTTCGAGAAGAATTTAAGACGATTTTCTGTGACTTCAATGATGATTTTTTTTTCTTTTTTTTTTTTTTTTGGTATTCCAACGCTGCTGCTTTTATCCTTAAATACTTGGCACTCGATGCCTCTCACTTGCCCTTCGGAACTGGAAAGAACAAAGGACATCCGCTTTTTGGTTCAATTTCTTCAAAAAATT